ACTTCAGACGCAAGGTGTTTGTCTAAATTTATTCAAAGTGACAATTTTCCCCCAGTCATTGCAACAAATAGTTTGTTGTCTAAACCTAACCACAGGCAGGATTGTGGATGCAAACGCCAGTCTCTGGTATGGCTGTCACACACACTAAGTTTCCTCCAAAACATTTTTGCTGTTGCAGTTTAGCTATTTAGGAACCAAACCTCTAGGAAACAGGGTAGGTCTGAGTGAAATGTAGCCTCCAGAACTGCTTCACTGCATCTTTACAAAGATTTTCAAAGTTTCTGAAACACTACTAGAAGGATGACAACCAGTTTTATAAAGATATTTCCTCATTTGATGTTTGATTTTATCCCATTCTTTCATTCTACCATACTGCATGTTCTTTTGTCTTCTTTTATTGCTTTCAATGACTACCGTCAACAAAGGGAGACCTATTTAGAGCAGTAACATCCTATTAAATGAAAGGTATGTGTCTGTGCTAATCCTCTGGGATTGGCATATGTGTGCAGGCTTTGGAGATTTTTTTTTTTAGTTTAGTACTTAAGACTGCATTTCTTTGTGCTCGTTCTCTATCTAGTCCTTTGAGTTGCACGGATTGAATGAACACACGGCCCAACTACCCCCCTGAGGTGACTCATGTACTGTATGGATGAAACCAGTAGGTAGCATGCATTAGGAAAGGAAATGCAATGTGTGTCTACCAGACAGCCAAGGAAACTCACTCATTTCAGTTTGGATGTTCAACTCAGACCTAGTAAAGTGGGATTTGATAAAAACTTTTCTAAGGCACCTCACAATAATAAAAATGTGAACATTGTTTTTGGTTATCACTGTAATATTTCTTCACATTTAAGGCAAAAAGAAAAGACAACAGATAATATTTGTCCATTTTATTCATGAAAAAGACCTTTTATATATTTTCTCAAGGGTTGTTTCCCCTCATTCTTGTGCATTTTCACAGTTTAAAATATTTGCCAGAACTGACCCATAGTTCAAGTATTGGTGTAAAAGTCAAAGCTGAACAAAGGAGCTCATAGTGCTTTAAATGCTTCAGTGCTGTATTTCCAGAAAACAAACCAAACAAAATAAGAAATGTACACAGTCACTCATATCACCTCGTGCTACATCTGGAGTTGTTTATTTTTATTTCATTTGTGGAGAAAAGAGAATAGCAAGATTAACTGACTTGCTCAAACGTTTTCATGCATCAGAGCTAGAAAATGAAAGCAGGTGGTCCTGAGTGTGAAATTGGGATGTCGTATTGGTTTAAATACAGGGATGTCTCATAGGAGTAAAATCATCTGAAACAATATAGGTAGCAGCCCTTGGAAGAACTATAATGGTGTGGGTTTAGAAGAGGAGGCTTTTGTTCACATGGCACAGCCCTACATGCAGGAGATGCTACAACTAATAATTTCCCACGTGGCTACATTTGTGGTGTTTAGAAGTTATTGATCAAAACAACTCAAAACAGGCCTATTATGAAGTGCCAAATGATTTTTGAATAGTGTCGGCTTTGTCCAGTCTTGGCACTTTTTGCCCTCCATACCACAAACGATGTACGGTTTTGTTTTTCTGTGGCTTAGTTAAGGAAACACATAAAGCATCTATGAGGTCTTTTTGTGTTGTGAACATAAAAAAACACACAACACAATATTAACTGATTCAGATGCATAGAGAGAAGGTGATTAATGCCCTTTTCTTGCAACATAACATGAAATACTGTTGACATTTTACAGGCACCCACCTTAATGACCTCAGTACTCCTATTTCTCTTTTATGTCAAACTATACCCACACAACATTAATAACACAAGTGATACATACTGTATATCACTTCCTTTTTATTAGTAAACAGCTGTGCATACTGTTTTGTGGCATGTGCTCAGATGGTCCACATGCAGAGCTGATAAATGAGTTCACACTGCCAAAGTGACATTGCTGTGACAGTCAAGATACCACACTAGTCCTGCTCCTTTCCCCTCAGGGTGTGTGTGTTCTTGTACCTGCTATATAGTGAGGGCCAAAAAAGTAGTTTTTTGCTACAGAGTGAGGACATTTTAGTGTCCTCACAGAGATAGAAGTGCAAGTGTGTGTGTGTGAGGGCAAGCTCTGTCCCTGTTTTATGACAAGGACGTAACCTTCCCTGCACTATGTGCGAGAAAGAATCATGACTCAACAACAGCAGGAGCACATCAGTGAAAGTCCCCATCCTACCTAAATCCTTCAAATGGGATTTAACGCCCATGCTCATATGAAACACACCTACAGTATGTTTCTCTGCATGTCAAGGTTTAATTACATTGCATGCAGTCTGACTTGAGTGCTATTCATTGTATTTATAGGTCATTGCAAGACATTAAGAAGCACCCCATGGTACTACTAACCACAAAACTAAAATATCTTGTGGCTGAAATCCAAGTTGAGATTCTCAAATGTCAACATTAATTTAAGTTGACTTTGATGGATGACCCTTCTCACACAAGCACCCTTCCTGTTTGACCTCACTTAAAACCTCAGCCACGACTCCAGCTAGCCCTTGTGTTACATAGCATGGTTTGGCACAGTTCAGTCCATCTGGGTCATGTACAGTAAGTGTGTCACTGCAGGTCTAATTATGACAGCAGTCCCCAACTTCTTTTCTCGTTCTCCCATAACAAAGATGCCATGTGATTCAGCCCGGAAAAGAGGCTATTACGGTTACACATGAACCAAGCCAAGCAGTGTCAGTCTAGCCATGTATAGGTGTTGATTGTAATTACAATATCAGCAAAGAGGTTTACACCATGGCATGAGTGGATTGGATCTTTGACCTCTAGTTCAGCTACTGTAGATAGCAGCTGACTTACTACATTAGTTTAAATAGGGCTCAGCATTGTATTTATCTAGCGAATTCTCCAACAAACGGATTGTAAGGTTGTTGTTCTACTGAGCTGGCATACCCCTGGATTTACACTGGAAAACATTCACCCAACAGCCAGTCTCCTCATTTCTCCTCCATGCTCTTGAGACTGTGCTGGGAAATGCAGCAAATCTTCTTGCGACTGTACCTATGGATGTGCCACCCTGGAGTAACTGGACTACCTGTACAACCTGACTGGGCTGCAGGTACTGCCTCATGCTACCAGTAGTGACAAGGACACTAGCAAAACACAAAACCTGAGAAGAATCAGTCAGGAAAGATAAGGAGGAGAGAGCATTTGTCTGTGGCCACTACATGCAAAGCCATTCCCTTTTTTGGGGGGTTGTCTTTCTTTTGCCTCTCCACTGCACCTGTTGTCACTTTCATCTGCACCAAAGCAGGTGAAACTGATTCACAATCACTTGTGCTTCCTAAGTGGACAGATTGATATCCCTAAAGTCTAACTAACTTGGTTTTATGCTGTGCTGATTAAGTGTTTGAGCAGTTTATTTAACAGACCAATGTGAGAGTGGTATCAATCTTATTTAGCAAGAAAGTGGATAAGCTAATCTCCTGCAATATCATAGTATTATGGTAAAGTCTTGGAAGAAATATCAACCAAATCAATTAGATGAATACACAGATTAGTTTTGTAATTGTAGAGTGGAGAGAATGTCCTAAGAAATTCAAAGAAATGTGGTCTGAACCAAGTTTAAAAGCCTGAGTGCTTTGTAATAGTAAGGAGATGCTAATACACTGAAACAGTAGCAGCTCACAGATCTTTGTGAAATACATGAGCAGGTCAGACTGCATGCAGATTGTTTCTTTGGTTGGATCCAAAAACACGGGGACTTGGTGGGAACAGTGAACTTGAAAGGGCGCCGTTAACAGAACCCTTAAAGAGCTCATTTGCACATTTTTAAAAAGTATCAAGTGTGTATACCACTATTATGGCTTCTCATAATGAGGAGATAAAAGAAACCCAGATGTCACATTTAGTGTCCCTCTCTTTGCTTTTAAGAGAGAGGGACATTTTGCAGTTTTTACTTTGCAGCTGTAGCCACTGAAGATTAACATTTAAATGTGCATAATCTCATTTAATGTTGTATTTAACTGACCAGAGCTGTTTGTTTATGTGTGTGTCTTACATTAACTGGCACTGAAATAAAGGAAGACAAGTCCCATGTTTCTGCAGCGAGAGCTACAACTGAGAAGTGGGTCATCTATATGCCAACCGAGCAGTTGGGATCAAACTTGCATGCCTCCTGCTCTGTTTTTCAGTCGCAACAACAGATGAAAAGCAAGAGAAAAGAAGAGGGGAAGGCAGGGGAAAGGAACGGAGGAGTGGAAGGGGGGAAAAGTCTGCAGATTAAGACTAGAGATGACTGAGGATGCAGGAGAGACACGTTTTGACTAATTATAGAAAGAAAATGGATAGTATTGATTTAAAGGAAACCAAAAAACATAGACATGTGTACAAGATTGTCAGACAAGTGGAGAAAAGATAACAAAAAGAGGATTGTGCACAGCAGATATCCTGCTGTTTTTATTTTCCAGTCATAAAAGTATTGATTGTTCAATGTGAGCAATGCAGACATTTATTTTCTGTGGCAAGAAACGGTATGCAAATCAGGATGGATGGAAAAAGAGAAGGGAAGGAAGTGAAAAGAGGCCCTGAGATGGACTGATACAGAGAAAGGAAAACTTGTTCTTGGACACTGAATGCAACAACCACAACTAGATAGAGTACAGTGAATGAAATGAGGTTAACAGAGAAGTGCTTTTCATTACTGTTGCTCAAGCTGTAATTGCATGAATACTTCACTGTTATGTGCTACTGACAATAGTTGGCTTTACGGGCGTTTTCTGGGTGTCCATGCACACACAGCATTTCTTCTCTTGCATAATGCACTTGAAACACAAGTACTTAACTTGGTTGTGTAACTGTGTCTACACATAATGCTGGTTGTACTTTTTAGACAGTGCATTTGTCAGTTAAATGAACATATAGTATCGTTCCTGTCCTAAACCCACACATGCCAGCACCAACAGTCAGGAGGAGATGGGGAGAATGAGCAAAATACTGCATTGCACTTTGTTTAAGGCTAAAAAGTTTGCAGTGGAAAGCAATGTAAACCTAAGGCAGCATGGATTGAACGTCTTGCACATTCTTAAAAAAAGTACTAAACTCAAATGTCGCCCAATTTGCCATGTGAACCACATGACCATGACAACAACAAACAAAACTGAATGCACTCTCTCACACCACATAAATAAAAACACAACTGGTACTATATTTGTATAGATTTGTGCATATCCATGTATGTAGCACGTGTGCAGACATGGTCATGTAAATACTGTATTCTATTCCAGCCTCATTCACAAACCTCATATCATGTGGCCAAAACAGCCAAAATACAAAATTTTAAATTAAAAAAATCTCTTTGTTTTTTCATTTTGCAGTGACTTCATTTAGCACAGTGAAACCCAACACGGTTTGAAGGTAGAATGGTTGCGGTTCGTTTACTCCGGCCTCAAAGCAACAGCTGGTCTTTTCCTCAGAGCTGGTTTAATTAGTCTCTGCCTGTTTTTCTTTCTGACAGTCCTTTTAAAACAGAAAAGAGGAACAGAGAGGCAACAAAAAGAAAATGAATATCAGAGTTAAAGCAGTGAGAGCTGGTGAAGAGCAGGAACAAAAGAAAGGGAACAAATGAGTTTAAGGCAGCCAAGGCCAGTCTGGTCAGTATTTGGGTGGAATGACCACCACAGGGTCACCATTCTTTGGCCGCCACATAAGTACTTGGGCATCGTTGGCGTTGGGTTTGACCATGGCATTAGGGGGGATGGACTCATTCTTGCCAAGGATCTGCGGCTGTTCCTGGGCAATGGGCTCATCCAGAACAGCCCTGTGACCCAGAGGCTTGTCTGGGTCCACTTTGATGTGAAGCCGCATCCTCCAGCGGATTGTCTGCAGGACCAGGGTCTCTGAGGTGGCCTGGTTGATGGCCACCAGCCAGGTCGTAAAACTCTGGTCGCGGCGAATGCTGCTAAGCTGAGGCACATTGCTGTTGCTGACCGGCACACCCCAGGTCACACTGGGGTAGAAATTGTCATTCATACTAACAGTGAATTTGCTGTCCTTTTTGGTGGGGCCCACTACTGTCCAGGTCTCCGTGGTGTTGCCGTACCAAGGGTAGTTGACACCATCTGAGTCGCTGATGGCTTGAATCTTGCCGTCTCGCAGGTCAGGGAGCTCCCAACTTGACCTGGAATTTGAGAGAAGTCAGAGGGGAGGATTTCATCAGCAATGGAGCTTTGGATGGAGTGTTCATTATTTCTGTAGGTTACAATAATGTATTCATTATCATCGCTACAAAGGTGCATCAAAGAAAGACAAACAGCAAGAAGGAAGTCAGCAGTTTAGTTGATTATTTGAACCACTTTCTTTGGATACAAAACCAGATGTGAGCACATGTGAATAATGTGTAACAACCTCTAATTACACAGGAAAACTTTATGCAAATGAAGTAAACCAAAGTGGAACCAGTTGTCTGTAAAGTGTGATGGATGTTTATAACTTATATACCTTATATTTTTCTTGACCCGTCTGACTTCTTGTTTAGTGATGTCAGAATTCTTATTAATGATAGAAATCAAGGCCAAAACTACAGAAATAAGTCTCAAGTTCAGAATCAGAATAAGCTTTACTTACTTGCCCCTTACATAAAGACATGTACATACCCATTGAGAGCTGCTGTACCAGAGTCAAATTCCTCATGTGTCCGACACACCTGGCCAATAAAGCAGATTCTGATTATTGGCCAGGTGTGTTGGACACGAGGAATTTGACTCTGGTACAGCGGCTCTCAGTGCATATGTACATGTCCTTGTGTAAGGCAGCAGTGGGCAAGTAAACAATGTAAGGCTGAGAACAGAAGTAAAGAAGTAATGTGCATTAAGAATGAAAATAAAGTACTATATACACAGTCTATATGCATTTGACGGATCTATATGTACAAGGTAAATTTACAAGTATTGCACTGAGGGTTATTGTCCAGTCATACTGTCATGGGTTAAGTGTTAGTCAGAGTGACAGTCCGGGGGAAGAAACTGTCCTTGTGCCAGCTTGTCTTGGCGCACAGTGACCTGTAGCGCCGTCCAGAGGGAAGGAGTTCAAGTTGTAATAAACCAAAATCCTGAAAGATCGGCTTTGGCACATTACAACAAACCACAGGATTCCTTATGTCAAAGGTTATTGTGTCTAATAATTTCTGTACCTACAGTATAGCTGAAAATCTCTAGTGCAGGGGTGCCCAAACTTTTCCCCTCGGAGGGCCAAAATGAAAATGCGTTACTGGGCTGAGAGTTGGGTGGACGGCAGCGGGGTGGGGGGGGTTTCCTGGTGCACTTTCTGATTGAAATGTGTTTATTATAAAGGTATTTAACATTTCACTCTTTGTACAAAGAACAGGAAGCAAATACAAAGCAAATGAATCTTTATTTAGCCACAAATTATGTCCATATGCATGTACATATTAACAGTAAATAGCAGCAGTTTGACACTATTAGTGAGACACATGAAGCTGGTCTTTGGCTTTGACCAGCCTCTCAATGTCAGGCTGAAGCTGACTAACTGAGAGGGTGAGAAC